GTTGCCTCTGCCTTAAAATCCCAAATCACTCTGTATTTTGTTAAGTCTTGTGTAGACTTTTGGATAGAATCTGTCAAGTTATAGTCGTCATATTATAGTTGAGCAGCTTCTGATATCACTGTGGTTAAAGGAAAAACTACAGGTTAACAATATATATAAAATATAAAAAATATAATATATATAATAAAAAAAACTAAAAATAATATATAAATAATATATTTAAGATTTGTAAGATATATAAAATTAAAGCTTTTATACTTTTTGAAACTTAGCTAGCTTAATTATATATATTCAAATCATATATACTAAAATTAATATTTTATCAAAAGTATCTTAATTTTGTAATTTTATAATTAAAATTACATGATTTTGTACTTATTAAAACTGTTTTAGTAAGCTAAATCTAATAGTAGTTGTTTTATCTAATTTGATTTAGTATATTAAAAATTATAATTAAAAATATAAAACTTTTATATTAATAATAAGTATTAAAAATTAAAAATTAAAGAATGTGATGACTTAGTGAAGTAGATAGGTTGTCAATTCTTCAAGTGATAGATTGAGTGTTCAAATCTTATCAATGATAATAATTAAATAATCACCTATATAATATTTGTATTATAGCAACTGTTACTAATAATTGGATTAAGATACCTGTAATAATAATTGCACTAGCATAACTGGCAGATTATAAGACATTCATATAAGTCACATAATATTGTCCTTTAAGACAAGGTTTGTGATTATATAAAGAAATGCAAACTAACAATTAGATGATGCAAATACTAGATAAGTCCTTGCAGTCATGTAAATCTCTTGAAATTGGGTAACAAGAAGTCTATTTAAGAAGACCTAAGTAGAGAGGTAGTTGAATCTTTAACAGTGCTACTGTAAAGGCTAGCCTGAGAAAATGAATATCCAGATTTAGTAAGTAGATGAACAAGAACTTCTGAATAGAAAATCTTAAGGGTACCACCAACCAGGCCACTGGAACAAACTAAAGGAAAAAAATATTGGATCAATCTAATATACTGATGGACTGATCATAGTTCTATATAGATTATCTGGATTAGAAGTCTAATGAAATTCAAAAGTATACTAAAGTACTGAAGTTATGCTATAAAGTAGATACTAGGGTCTAAGTAAATTCTACAAAGACATAATAGTTTAATGGTTAAGCCCTAACTACAAGTGTTGGTTCTGCTATAATGATATCTAGATCAGCTATAAAAATAAGTACAGAAGGCTCTAAAGGGTTTACCTTAAGAATAAATTAGTTCTAAAGTTAAAACATAATCTGGTTATCTGAGTATGACTTAGTAAGTTAACACAGATTACAGGTTCAGAGGATTTAAAGTAAAACATTCAAGCAAAGATATTAGATATAGCAATTAGTAAGAAACCTTTGAATAAACTTCTTAAATAAGTAATAAAAAAAAGTTATATGTGTAGTCAATTGTATGCTCTTCTGTAGTAGTTCATCAAACTACAATACCAATAATAATTAATAAAAATCAAAAAACCAAAAAGGTCATCTTAATACTAAAAAAAAAAATTAGAAATTAAAAAAATAAAAAAATTACTAAAAGTAATTATAAGATAATAAAAGATTAAATAAATAATAACAAAAAATAACAAAATAGAATTAAAGATAAAAGTAATTAAGAATATTGTTATTATATAATCAAACAAAAGTAAAAAACTAAAAAAAATTATATACAAGAACTGCAAAAATAATTAAAAATAAAAGAAATACTAAAAAATATCTAAAAAAAAAAGCAAAATAATAAAAAATAAATAAATAGAATAAATAGCATATAAGATGTAATAAAAAAGACAATTATTATAGCAGTTAATATTTGTAAAAGAATTAATCTTATTTAATATAAAATTATCTCTAATATATGGGCTAGGTGTTGAGAAAAGGGACGAAATTGACATTTTTTTTAAAAGCTGTTTTTTTATATAAATCAATTTAAAATAAGATTAAGAACATTTTTTATTTAAGACTTAAAAGTAATTGTGCTAATAAAATTTTGTAATATAGCTCCTTAAAGTTTGCATTTTCCTATGATTTATTATAATATTTATAACATAAAAATTGATTTTCTGAAGATCTTTTTTTTTGTCAATTTCGTCCCTTTTCTCAGCACCTAGCCTATATAATCTATTTCTATTTAGTAAAGCTTGTATTAAAGATAAAATAGCTCTAAGGTCTATTATCAAAAAATTAAGTTAATATTATAAAAAAAATATTAAAAATTAGAAACTTTAAATAAAAAATCTATAGTCAAATTTTAGATATAGCAATTAGTAAGTAATGTGTAAGTGAAATCTTTAAATAGACAATAATTAAAGCTATACAAATAACTAATTATAAGCTTATTAATATGCAAAATATAATATTTTTTTACATATTTGTAATTTATAAATCTTAATAAAAGATTATAAACTATAAACATCTTTTTTTAAATATAAAAAAAATAAATAAATAAAAATAAATAAATAATATAAAATAATTAAGACAGATCTAAAAAAATAATAAGTTTTTTAAATAAATTATATAGGAAAATAGTACTTAATACCATATATTTTCAAAAATAAGCTACATCTGAAAGAAGCTACTATCTTATTTTAGATCTAAAATCTATAAAATTTCTAATTCCGAAAATAAGTCACCTTTCTTTTTAACCAAAACTAATAGTAAAATTTTTAATTCCGAAAATAAGCTACTATTTAAATATTCTAAATTTAATGATTTTTTTATAGCCAATTACATTCTATTATCATTATATATATATATCGTAATAAGTACATGCTTTCAAAAATAATCTAAATTTATTTGTGTATAAAAATAAAAACCTGTAACTAATTCTAATAAATTATTAAATACAATTACAGGTTTTTATTTTATACACTCATTTAACTTGATCACTAGATAATTTTCTTTTGAAAATCTATTATAATGTGTGTATATATAATTTTCTGGTTTTAATTATACAAGCTAAGGATCGTATTGTTAAATTAAACCTTTTTTATGGTACAGTGCAGGAAATTTAAAAACCTCAATCTCACATTTTAAGATGATGCATAAACTAGTACATAGCTTATTGAGAATAAATTTCTTAAATTATCAATCTCAATAAAGTGATGGCATAGAAATAATGCGTAAAGAATAATATATACTTAATAGAAGCTGTTTTATGCATACAGCTGAAACTTCTATGAGTTTTTAGATTTCCTGTATGTATGTAATTAGTTTTAGAGAAATGTAATATGCCGAATTCTTGTTAATAATCCAGTATAATGGAACTTAAATTTTTTACTAACAGGTTTTAACTTGACGACACTCAAATCAAAATTATATGCAAATATCCAATTAATTAATTTACCCAACAACTTAAATTGTTAAAACTTTTAATTAAATACATATAATAATTTTAAAAAAAACTAATTTAGCCAAACTGTAACTATACTAATAAAAAACATTTTGGCTAAAATACTTTTTCAATTGAATTACTAGCACTAGTTAATTATTTTCGAAAAAGCTAATTTGAGTTGTTAAGATATGCTGTCCCTTATATGGATTGTAGTTAGATTATTTTTTTACCTGTTTAAAACATGTGATAATTAAAATCCGAATACTGATTTAAATAATACTCACCTGTTTTTTAATTTATCTTCACCTGTTTTTAATTACATAATAAAAAACATTTGTCATCTCTAGCCCCGTATTGTATTATACTAAGGTTCTAGTTAATTAAGACATCTGCTACTCATCATTAGAATAATATCACCGGCTGCAGGTCCAAAATTCTGTTTAGTAGAAACATTGCCAAAAAAAAAATCAAGGAGCATCATGTTAGCCAAAAATTTTTGGTACTGAGCGATTACTATTGGGGATATTAAAATATTATGATGCAAATTTATTTGATACAGACCATCATTATTCTATAAAGTTTGTGCAAAGATAAAAAAATTCATAAAAAAATTAGATAAGTAATAATATGACACCTCAGTTAAGGTTTGGGGTTAATATTAATAGCAATATTATATTATAATTTTGCAAGGAATTTTTTTTGTTAGTGCTCAAAAAGGTGACTTCTTAGGTGAAATCTGAATAAATGTGACTTCAAAAAAAAACTGATTGTTGTTTGATCTTTACATTACATATTTTGTGAAATTAAAACTTGATATATTAAAATTCTGAATTTATTAATTGCAAGATACATGTTGTCAGCGACTAGAAAATTAAAATCTAGTTGATATGTGGTAGTGCTACATTTAACTTTATGATACATTTAACCTTATATTTTTAAGGGACATAATGATAAAATAATTAAGTAGATTTAATTCTTACCTTACACAATATGCAAAATCATGCTGATTCAATAACTATATAACATTCGGGTCACTTGTAAGATTCAGCCATATCCTCATTACCAGATTCGTCATCATCGTCATCAGATTTGTCACCTTCATCAGATTCATCGCCTTCATTACTGTTATTATCTCTATCAGATTCATCATCTGAATTCTCATCATCGTCATCATCATAAATCAAATGATCCTTACTTCCAGACAAACAATTAGAAATATCACACTTCTTGAATGCCCAGCCGACAATGTCTTCGGAAACATCTTTTCATGCATTCAAAACCCAGTGACACATCGTATTCAGATCAGCACGCTTCAAGTTTCCCTTCTTAGTAACACCATTGCCACCGTTTGCCATCCATCTATGCCAATACTTACGAAGTTTATCTTTAAATGGCTTGTTGATACAAACATCAAGAGGTTGACACATGCTTGTAAGACCCCTAGGAATAACAGCCAAGTCAGTATTTTCTGAGCGCAACTCACCTTTAGCTCGATCTGTGATATGCACTGAAAAAGAATTAAAAACAAGCATTGTTCTTGAATTACATGATCCTGGTCGCATATTATTTCAATATGTTGTCCATTTACTCATTTCTAACTCATCCATCTATCCTTTTTCTTGGAACCAAACTACTACACCAGCTGAAGGTAGTGGGGTGGTACTGGGCCAAGTCTTTTCTTTAAAGATAATAATAGAGGGGAGCTTCCTACCATCTGCAAAACATGTTAAGACAACAGTGAATCTATTTTTATCATTCTCAGTTGTTCGAACATGGACTGTTTTAGCACCTTTTGGATTCATGGTTAAGCTACCCACCATATCGAACCAAACTGAAGTCTCATCCATGTTTGCGATCATTTCAAGGGGGTAATCATTCTTTTGGTGAAGGCAGATAACAAACCGCTAAAAATCAAGTAACTTATCCTCAAGATCCTCTAGTAACTTTTGCGCAATTTTGGTCTTATATCGAAGCGAAAGATTGTGACATTTTAAAAAACAGTTTAATCAGCGTAGTGAAAGCTTAAAATTATTAATTGCAAGCTTTTTAGTTACATTATTTGTTTGTTTAGCACTCTTATCCAAGATTTCAGCCATTTTAAATCTTATATTAGCATAGGTAACTGCAAGACTATTCTGTTGGGTTATTATTAGCCACTCATAAAGTTGAGCCTCCTCCTCAGGAAAAAGTGCACGACGTCCAGAGCCAATGCTTCATAAGTTATTTTGATGAAAAGGGCCTTGAGAAAAAGTTTTAACCCAATGTCCAAGCATGGTCAAATCCAGGAAATAGTGTTGGGCTGCATGTGAGTTTGAAGTGCGACAAACCAAATTTATGGCTTTACATTTTTCCTCAATCGTGTAAGAGTTTCTCTGCCTTTTCATAATTTGGACCAGGTTTGTTTATACTGTATAAAGGAAAAAAAAAAAAAAACTCTACAAATTTTTTCAAAGCTGGGTTTAAGAGATATATGTATACAGTTTATCTGCTTGTAAGGTTTTTTTTTTCTATTGATGTATTTGTAGGTTTCTTTTAAATGGCTTAGGTAAATGTTTTTAAGCAGGTGGTAGTTTCTCTAAAGCTATGTTAGGGTGGGTAGGTTTTTTTTACTGGAAAGTAACTTTTAGAAAATACTAATAGACAGATAAAATTTTTTTTAAAGTAATAGTTTGCTTAAACTCTATTATGCAACCATTTTTTTAAAATTTGGGGCAGGAAGTTGTCTAAGTTATAAGAACAAGCCTTTTCTAGTAATTGGAGCCTTTTGATCTTATTCAAATTTTTTTTTTTTTTTTAAAAAAAAAAATAAAGATAGAGTTCTTCGACCTTATTTATAATATGGACACCATCATGATACTGTAATAATAAATTTAAATTTGTATATACGTACGTACGTAGTCACAAATTGCTACCTTGAGGTTTTCTGTTCTATGAGGTTTTTGTTTAGAAAATCTTGGTTGGGAGTTGTTTTTGGAAACACTACAAGCTTTTGTACTTTGCCGGTATCATTATATATATATGTATATAGGTACATATGCATGTATGTATGTACTAGGGCTTCTCATTTTCTGCGGCAACTGTCCCCAAAATCCGTATATGCTACCTGTTTATTTATGCAAGAAATTTTTTAAAATATGCAAATTAGATAGAAACATATGTATGTAGATATCAAGAATCTGAAACATGAAATTTAGTTCTTTATTTATGAAAAAAATTACAATACAATAGCATGAAACCTGCAATAGATTCTAGCTAAATCCACTACAAAAATCACGTAATAGTAAAAATCTACATTAACTCAATGCACTAGTCCTAGTATGTACATTGTGTTTATATCTCTATAATGTGCAACAATAAATATTAAACAATAAACCTGAATTTGTCATAGTAAGATTTTTTTTAAGCGATAATACCCTATAATAAGCTACCCCTATGTTTAAGTATAAATTCCTTGAAAATCGTAGATTCCGAAAATAAGCTACTTATTGATTTTTGTGTTTAAAATTGTTTAAAAAAGGGTAGCTTATTTTCAGAAACATATGATAAATTTATTAAACAAATCTAATAATAAAACCAAGGTTGATAAAAGCAAATATAGCAAAACATTATAAAAAATAGTTTAGAAAAAAAAGTACTAAATTAGAAAAAATATTAAAAGATAAAAAAATATATACAAACTATAAAAATACATTAAAAAAATAGTATAATGAAGTTAAAAAAAAATAAATAAAAAAATAAAAAAAGGTACTAAAAGAACTAAAGACAAAAATAGCTTTAAATATATTAGACATAAGCCATATACTAATCAAACAAATAGGAAAAAAAATACATAAAATCTTTGCAAATTTATATTTAAAAGTAGAAAAAAATTTAATAAAATAAAAAATAATACAAGTTTTTTAATACTAAAAGATGTAAAGTAAAAATATAACTTAAATAATATCTAATTAATAATACTAATTAAAACTTTTAAAAAAATAATAATAAAAATTATAACAAAAAGACTTATCAAAATATTTATAAAAAAAATATATTCAAAGAACCAAATTATGTAGACCTTTTAGAAAACTTTACAAAACAACCAGTATATATTCTAAATATAATAATAAAAAAAAAACAAAGAAAAAACAAAAAAGTATAATACTTTAGCAAGATATAATTGACTTAGTTTTATTTAAAAATCTTGAACTAGTATTGCAAAAAGTTAAAATATTTAAATAAACAATTAAATATATTTTATATCTTTTTTATAAAAAATAACTAAAAATAATTACAGTCTATAAATTAATAAAAAAATAATAACAAAAGATAAAATAGATTAAGATAAAATATTATTATTATTGATATAATATTTTTTTATAATTTACTATAAGAAAAAGTACAAAAACTTATGAATTTAGATTATACAATAGAACAAAAAACAAAAAAATGCAATATAACAATATTACAAAATATTATTAAATAATAATTATATATAAAAATAATATAATATAAATTTTAAATAGTAAAAAACAACTATTAAAAATCTTAGAAACAACTAAAGAGTTTTTAAAAAGAAATAATATAAAGATAATAAATTTATATTAAGACTACTAATAATAAATATAAAAGTTAAAAAAAAAAGATAATTTTTAAAATAAGTAAAATAATAAAAAAATTAAAAAATAAAAAGTTTACTATTTAAAAATATGACTAAACAATAGAATACAAAAAGTACTAGTAAAAAAAAGCAAAAGATATAATTAGTTAGATAATAAAAGACCTTAGATACAAAAAAATAATAATAAGTCTGATCATATATAAATAACATAGTAATAATACTAAAACTAAGTTATATATAACAACTAATAAAAATGTAATAAAAAAAATAAGTAAAATATACTGACTAATAATGTTTGACAAAACAGAAAAATAACCTGCTAAGAATATTAAAAAATTGCAGTTTTTTATTACTTTAACAAAATTATTTTTATTTAGAGCTAATCTGTAGAATGCCTATGTAGCATTATTAGTATTAATAATATATATAATGATATCAGTATGCTCTAGGTTTTTAAATTTAGGACAAATATATCTTTGTCTTGTTTTAATAGTTCTAATACTTGTTATTATTATTAATCTACTAGTATTTTATAATCAATTTGAGTTTAAGTTTTTCTTCTATTGACTTTTCTACTTCTTTTTTCTAGTTTAAAACTATTTCTTCTATGTTAATAAAATACAAATCTGAATTTTTTTCTATAAAATATTCTTTCACATTATTTTTCTTTTTATAATTGAATTTATCAAATATATCTCCTCTATTACTTTCATAAATTTTCTTATCATTTAGTTATAAGTTTTTTATTTTAGTATTTAAATTAAAACACTTATTACTTTATTTAAATTTTTCAAATAAAGTCTTTGTTTATTAAAATATATTCAAGCATTAATTTTCTAAAACCAATCTGTTTTAAGAAGTAATGTTTCTTTAAATAACTCTATTACTTGCAATATTTTTAGTATTATTATATCTTGTATAATAATCTTTAAATTTACTTCAGTCAGAGATATTTTCAAATTCAGTAGATTATATTTCATGTAACATATTACATTCTAGAATAATTATAAAGATTATTTGACATTCAATCATCTAAATTTCTATGCTTTTTTTAATGTTTTATATAATAATATTTTACAAAGTAGTTTTGAAATATAACTAGCTGTTGCAAAACTAGAGAGATCGAAGTACATAGTTTTATAATTAATTAAAAATCATTCATAATCAGTCTTAGTTATAAAATTTTCTATTAGTAAATTATAGTTTACTTTTAAATTACTAAAACATTACCTTATTCTTTAAAAACTAAGTAGATGGCTTTTATTTATAATTTTTGTATTGTCTTTACTATTCTGCAGCTTATTATAACTGTTCTGACATTACACAACCTTTAGTAAGAAGGTTTTTTTTTTTGTTGGTACAAACTTATCCATAAGAAAAGTGAGTAACAATTTTGACTACTTTTTTGCAAGTTAAACCTTTCTAAATATAAGATGACAGAGCTATATGTTCAAAGATCTAATTAAGAGCACTTAAGAAAGTTAATTTACAAGTGCCATATTATAATATTAAACCAAGTGATATGTATATTCGGGAAAATTATCAAAACATTTAGAAACTTTTTACAAAGCATATATTTAGAGAGATTACTAATGCTTAGATTTGTTATTCTATTTTCATATTAAATTTAATAGCTATTAACAGATTTTACTATTAGATTCAATATTTAACAGATAACTGATTCAAGCTCTAGAGCTGTGTTGTCAATTTTTTTTTTATAGTGGGTTTTAGAGCTTTCTGATAAAAAAGTTTTAGTAATGCTTTCTAGTTTTTTAGAGGTTTTCTAGTAACAATACTGCTCTAGAGATTATATTTAGAAGTTAATTATATTAAGGTTCATTCATTTTTATTTATTATTTATTTATTTATTTATTTATTTTTTAGTAAACTCTTCTCAATAGCCATGAATGAAAGACCTGCCCTATGTTTTTGCTAATTTAGTTCTGTTATATCAAAAATATGGATTAAAAAAATGTGAAATTAAAAAATCACAAGTTAAACAGCATGCAAGTAGTGAAGCAACAAAAAACTGTCTTTAAATATATAATATTTTTTTTCCTGAGTTAGATCAGATTTAAACATAATTAGATAGTTTTTCTTTATACAAAAGACATTATAACTAACTTATTGTATCTAATAACTTGTATCAAAATTTATTAAATTTAAATTTAGTAAATTTCAATTTTGATATTAAATCTATAGAACAATCTTATATAACAGAAGTAAAAAATAATAGTTGTGAAATTGGAGTGCAAGTTAATAAACAAACCAATGATATTGATGTACAAGTATTAATAATATGTTACAATTTCTTGAAAATTGTGTTCATTTACTTCAAACACAATTAAATTCTAAAACGAATAAAATCAAATATCTTAAAAAACAATTAGAGTATATATACAACTATGTAGTAAAGAGTTGAAATCTTATTCAAGAATTAAATAAAACAAATAAAGAACTTTCTGAACAAAATAATACATTAAAATATAATTAGAAAAATTGACATGATAGCTAAAAAAAAAGAATTGAATTTATAATTAATATTGCAAAATATAAATATCTATTAGTATATAATAATATTGAGTTATTAATTTTAGATCAACATCGATTTTCTCTTAATAATTTATTAAATTTTACATCCAATAATTGGTTAGCTAATTGCAACCTGATTGT